AGCATGTGATGAGGCGTCAAAGACGATTCGCCACTTTATATCATCTTGCTTTTTCACTGCATGATGTGGCAGATAGTACTCGGTGTTTTCAGTTTCATCTGCAGATGGGCAAACTTCAACATGTCCTTGATCAATGTAATTCAACATGCATTTTTCGTATTGTGTCTTCAAATATTCATTTGATGTCAGTCTTTTTTTCAGTGATTGAAATCTGTTCTCAGCAGTAGTTTTGTTTGTTGGTAATGTTGAGACCATCGCTTTCCAAGGTAATGATAAGACCCTACGATTATCAACTAATTTAAATGAGTCACGAAAGTTCTTCAAAACAGTCGAATCGTGTTTAGACATTTCTCTATCCTGGGAAATGGTAATCCCAATTGTTTCCAAGTCCCAGAAGCAACGTACACTTTCATTGATAGGTTCTTGTTGAGTGAATGTGTTGAGGTAGCTTACAGTAGCTACATTGGATATAGTTGTGCATGATCGAGGTCCACTTAGAATCCACCCGAAATGTGACGGAACCAATGCAAGTGATTCTGACAGCATAACTGGAGCTTTAGGATTCAATACTTGCCAGTAGAAATCAGCACCAATCAAAACTTGTATAGGCAGATTTTGTAAATTATCGTACGGGTCAGCTAGTTTCATTCTTTTCTGGAATGCCAGGCGTGAAACAGCAGGTGGAGCAGATGGATGGGACGTGTATTCATTGGAACTTTCAAATGCTTCAATATTGACTGAAGACTGATTCCACGTCTCATATAGGAAACATTTGCTGTAGATTCAAATCCATGCACTTCCAGTGGTTTAGTAGAAATAACTTCTAATTTCAAACTATCAACAAGATCATTATGAATGAAACTAGACTGTCTACCTCCATCCAGAAGACAACGAGTCAATCTTGTAGCACCAGTATATAAAACTCTTGCAGTTTGCAAATGCACAGTGTTCGGTGTTGCAATATAGATCTTGTGAGTAGACATTGTACCTGGGTGATCAATACTGTTCTTACAAATTGAAACATGATGCTTTTTCTTGCATTTCACACAACAAGCCCTTTCCTTACGAGGACAGCTCTGTTTTGTGTGCCCTCGTCCAGCGCACAAAAAACATCTATTCGTAGTTTTTAATTTCTGTATTCGTGTGTCTATATCTGTCACAGAGTCGCACTGTTGAGGCCAATGTCCGGCAGTTTCGCAAAAGGGACAGAATGGTGAAGGTTTCGTACTTTTAGTAATTGGCTTGGAATTTACA